TGACAATACGATTATTTAATAACTTAATCCTACATAGAAAAAAAAAATGTTCTTGAATCAAGTATATAATTTTGAAGAACTTAATTTTCTTGACTTGAGTAGAAAAATTCTTGAACTAATAAATTTTTCTTGATTTAAGGAAATTTTACTTGCTTCAAGAATTTTTCATCTTGATTCAAGATAATTACCCTCTTCAAAATTATTTTCTTAATTCAAAAATTTTTCTCTCTCGAATCAAGTTAATTTTTTTTTCAGTGTAGTACCCTCACCAAGATCATCAGGATGAAAAAATAACTATATTTTACAGATTAAAAATTTACCCAGCATAGAATGACAGTAAAAATTTTTCTTCTTTCAATTACCAAAAATATTGCAATCTAATCGACGTTCTAATTAGCAAATTGTCTAACTCCATTTTAGAGAATCTTCTATTTGTACGAAAAAAACAATTAGTTCAAAATTTATTATCACTTTAAAAAACCATTTAATATCATTAATATCTAATAGAGATATAATATTTAGGCTTAAATCATTCAAATAATTTATAATTGGATTATTGTTACATCAAAATGTAAAAAAATCACCCTCTAAAATATAAGGAGTTAGACAAATTGCTAATTAGACCGTCGTAATGTTTCTGGTATTTTATTACATGCTAAAAAATTTGAAAATAAATGATTGGAAATTGAAAATCATTCAAAATTATTTTCTATACATTGTAATTTGGTTTGCTATTTATCAAAATTTTTTAGGTTTTTAAACTATCGTTTATTTGTTTGAGAATGTAATTCACTTTTTTCCATTAATATTTTCAATTTTATCCATTTTTTTTGGAAGCTTAAATAATTAATCCAGGACTACCAGTCCTTTTAAACAATTATTTAAAAGCAACCGAAGCTCTTTTGGCTATAGTAATTTAACCCTCTTAAATAGTAAAATAATGATATAATTTCTTCAAATTTATTAGAGCCGATATGTTCTACAATGTATGTGACGAAGGAAAAAAATACCTTTAAGTATCCTTTATCACGGTTTATAACTGCTAAATTTTTTCAATGGAAGTCTAAAGGAAAAAGTTTTTTAAATGTAAGATTCTTTCCCAAGCGTCACAAAAAAAATGTTGACTTTTTGGTAGATTTCACTTAACAACAAGTTAAAAAATTAATAATCGTCAACTTAAATTAAATAAAACATTAATAAAAAAAAATTTGTGCCGCTTGGGTTACGGATGTATTTGAAAGAGTTTTACGTCTGAACCTTGTAAATTTTTCATAGATGGATTAAAAAGTATTTTAAACAATTTTTAACAGTTAGATAAACTATGACATCTTGAACAACGAAAATAAAATTTTATTTTCAGTTTCCAAGATTATCAAATGATTGACAGAAATCACTAAAGAAAAAATTCAAATTACTCAAAATTAAAAAATAAATTGTATAATCTATTCTAAAACTAGACAGCATTTCAAACATTTTTAAACTTGATCAAATTTCAAACTCAATTAAAGTTTTAAGTACAATCTTAATGACGTGATGCAAGATATTGTGATGAAATCTATCTAATACATCGAAAAGAAAGCATTCAATTTTTAATCAATTAAACTTAGCTTCCAGTCATCACTTCAATGTGCACTTTAGTAGATATAGTTTGAAACTCTTATGATGATAAATCAATTTCAATATACCTCACCATTTCAGATAGACTTTTTCAATCGGCTTCAAATACCATTTATTTTACTGATTCTATTTGTGATCGTTTATTTTTAATAATAATAATAATAATATGGCTCAAATCGGTGCATCTAACGAAAATAGTTTAAAATATTTGTATTATCCAAACCATATATTATTAGGAACTTATGTTCTTATATCGAGAAAATTTTCTTAGTAGTATTATTTTTTTTCTCATTTTGGGTGTATTGTATCGCTGGACTATAAGGAAACTATTCAAAACTTTAAAATGAAGTTTCACTTACATAAAACTTCCAAATGCGTTCATAAGAAAATTTATACACGCTTCTGCTTAATAAATATAATTTAAATTATAATAAAACAAATTACGTTCCGGTCTACATTTTGAATAATGCTTTTCTCCACCTGGATGCCAACATTTAATTCATATGGTTATGAGTATTCATGAAAGAAAAACAAAAAAAAAAAAAGTTGAATTTTTATCGTCTGTGTACATTTTAATAGTTAGGTGCTCTTAGCATAAAAATAAAAAAATTACAGTTTCAAAATGGAATGTCAACAATCTAGATAAGACGTACTTTTTAAAATTGAAAAGTTACAAATTCAAATAATTTGATAAAATACAATTCTAAGTATTGATTTTTAAGATTTCAAATATACACTCTTACAGAGTTTTAAAAAAGTTTTTTTTGAAACTATAATTTTTCCATTTTTTTTACTAGAGGCACCTAAATATTAAAATTTTCACTATAAACTGTAATTATTCAACTGTTCTTTTTCCCGTGTTCTACTGTGAACACTAAAATTTATCGTTTCAGTTAAAAAAGACGAAAAGTCTACACCTTAGATAAACACAATCAAACTGAAAAGAGAGAAATATAAAAATTCCATCAACGTTAAATCCTTAAATATTTTTTTTACGCACAAAGTTATAACTGAGTTGAATTAGTTGTGGCTACTACAAACACTGCGAAAATATATATTTCGAATTTTTTAAAATCTTTTAAATTGTGAATAAACTTTAGAAAAGGGTTTAATTATTTGTTCTAGTTTACACAAAAGCATGAATTAAATTAAATTTTCCATCAAAGCTTGTAACTATTTTAGTCGCTTTTAGAATTTTTTTTAGTCCGGTAATCAATTATCTATAAAATTTTAAAACTTTTAGCATGACTAAAAATAAAGTTACAACCAGAGTCTATAACTTTTGAATGCTTCAATTAATTCACCGAGACGCTTAAGGGAAAAATGTGTAACGCACGAATATTAAATAATGGTAGGAAAATTTTGAATTGAATTATTTTTGTATAAAAAATATGCAATTAAAACTCAAATAATAGATTTATTATGTCAATAATGTATGTACCTACAATTACATTTTAAAAACTGTTTACAACGCCCTACTTTCGATATTGATGTGTTACTGGTCGTTGAATGAAGCCAATACCAGTCATCCCTTTCTTTTCCTCCTCACTGACAGAACAGAAAAGCGGGTGGTTTTCGTCTCGACGTTTTTTTTTGTCCTCTATTTGATTCATTTCGGTCTTCATGTTTGCATAACAAACATTGAAAAAATTTCAATTATATAAATAAATATAGGTTTGATAAATACAGTTAAAAAAAGTTATTCAATTTTACATATTATATATATATATATATATATATATATATATATATATATATATATATAAATACAGATTATTATTATGTCGATTCTTGTTGGAAAACTATCCTAACAATTTTTTTTTTTTTTATGGACAAACAACTTATTTTCGTGTAATACCTCAATAAACTTTGTAGTAAAAAGAATTTTTAGAGGAAATCATATTTTGAGAAAATTTAAGTAGCAGTTCCTGAAGTCTCTTACAGTAGCTTAAAAAAAAAAATATTATTTGAAGTTTCAAAAAAAATTTTAATACATTCGAGCAATATTCTTCTTTATAATTTTTCAGAGAAGTGTTTGCTCAGAAAAACTTTTCAATTTTTCAAAAGCTGCTTACTTTTTAGTACTTATAAAGTTATGTCGAATACTGCCAACTGGGTTAAAGTCAAAAGATTTGTTAAAAAAATCAGTATCAAAAAATTATTAAAATAGTGGTTTTCATAATAACTTTGATGCAATGGTCAATCGTTTTAAAAAATCTATTAACGTTTGAAAAATTGTGCCGAATGTCGCAAACCAAATTAAATGAATCATTCAAAGTACACGGAGAGAAAAGAATAGATCTTATTCCTATGTAGAATGGTAACCATTACTATGTTACATAGTAAAGAAAATTTTTTTGAGAATTCTGTGTAAATTTGCTGATAAAAGTCTCAGAAATTGTGATAAAAATATGAACCACCCATTCGTTGCAGAATTAAATTCTGAACATAATGTTGTTTTTTTATTTTTTTGATAAAAATTTTAATTTGTTATTAACAAAAAACATAAACAAAATAAAAAATCTCTGTTTTTTGTAAATAACTCAATAACTATAGGTGATATCGAAAATCGGAAAAAGATCCTTAAAGAGGAGGAAATTTCTGAAAAAAAGTCTCGACTCTCGGAAGTCTAGCTTGAAAAACAATCATTTTTATTTAATGTTGAAAATAGGGTTCCGCGCAACTGCCATCGTATTTCAGCATCGGCGCGGCTGTGTGACAAAAGTATCACCATCTAAAAATGTTTAATAAACCTCCTTACAAAAAGATACATTTGCAAAAATAGTGATAAATTTAAAAGATGAACAGCAGATTAATCCGTTTTCAGATTTTTGTTTTAATTCCAACATAAGCTTCTCAAGATCACATTTTTTTAATTTTCCAAAATCTCTATACAAAATAAAATAAATTGTTTTTAACCTTTTATCGCTCGTTTATTGTGAATATAATTCTGACGAAGCACGAATATACTCAACTCACTGAAGTTTCCTATTGAGTATGTGAGAGTTTAGCTGCTAATGAACTTTTCATATTAATCCGGCAATTTTAACTCGGAAATTCAAACCTAGTGAAATTAAATTTCGTATGAATTAAAGTTGCTGAAATTTAGCTTCGTACTATTTAAAGTCAACTAAATGTGACTTTCTTCCGATGTATTTAATGTGATGTAATAATTAAAAAAATACAACAGGTAAAAATGTGATTTCTCAAACCTAAAAAAATATGTTTTTATTCAAAAAAATTATTCAAACTTACAGTCTTTGAAATTGCACCTGAAAAATTCCAGCAGTGAATAAATTAAATTCATTACTTGAAAATTGGTACATTAATTATATTTTTTTACAGGATGGTCTTCTTCCTGAAATGAAAAAGCAAGGTGTAAAATGAATCGGCGAGAAGATCCACTGCTCCGGCAGCATTGTAATCGTTTACTTCAACTTGCCGAAACAACTAACATCAAACCTGGACATGGAAGTGGCAAACGGCGAGGCCAAAGATCGTCCCATGGATTTAGTTCGAGGTAAACACTTACTTGAATATATATATGAACAAAAAAATTAATTTAATCGTCAAATGTGTTGGAATTTTATGAATTTTGTGTCTACACACACGAAAAAAAGTAAACTGTAATAAATAACAGTCGATTTATAATAAGTAATGATCAACTGCTAAAAATTATTATTTCAAACAGTAAAATTGTGATTTTACTATTCACTTCATAATATTTACTATTTAAACGTTACAATTTACTCTTTACATGGAAAAAAATACTATTTCAAACAGTAATATTCGCTATGTGAATGTCTAAAATATTAGAGTATTATAATTAAGAATTCAGACTTTGATATTCATCGCTTCGTTACCTAAAAAATGATCTTATGATATGTAAAAAGTATAAAATAAAGTTAGTAAATTTCTAATACAAGCAACGTCAATATTTACAAAGTAAAATGGTAAATTTTAAACGCAACGCTAAAAATCAAACTGTAATTATTGACTTGCTTGGACTGGTAAAATGTATATTTTAAAAGTATAATTTTTACCTGTTTCAAATGTTAAATTCTCCCAGAGTGAGACCCCCTTCTCTTTCATCTGAGTTCCCCTTCTCCTCATAATATGGACTATATATTGAAATGGCAATTTTTACTGTTTGAAACTGTAATTTTTTAAGATGAGAGAATCGTTATTTACTATAGTGACAGCTACTAATTACTTATTTTGGATATTAAATTATAAATTGTGGCTTTTATACTTTCTACATTAAGTTCTGTAATATTTACATTTTTGCCACCCTGATGTCCGCTTTACTGTTTGAAACTATAAAAATTAACCGGAATACGAGCGAATATTACAGTTTACTTTTTTCCGTGCAGTAAAAAATTTTTCGTTAAATTTAACCCAAAAAAGTATGTTAACGACTTTTTTTACACAAGCTTAGTGTTAATTCAACACAATCAGTGTGTAACGATAAAGGTAGTACCCTCGCGACATATAGTGCGAGTAAATTTGGGTATAGTTTAGGATATTTTTGTCTTTCTCGTCAAAAAATTTCAATTTGCGTCAATCGATGCAGAATTATATAAATATTAATCTGCCAAAATTTAAAAAAATTCCTAAGAAAACGCCTCTGGCGAGGCGGGTACTACCTTAAGTATCGAAAAACATTTTTGTGTGATGAAAAACGGATCTATTGAACGACACAAACGATTTTAAGTCAACGCACTAAAATGTAAAAATTGAACAGAAAAACTTTAACATTTTACACAATGACGAAAAATTTTTTACTGTTTATATATAATCTAACAATATTAACCGCTACATTAAACAACAAAACTTCAATTTAAAACATATTTACATTTAATTTTCTGTCTCTTCGTGTGCTTACTCTTACAATTTTTCATAAATTCAAATATTTAAATTATATAACTTTTCTTTAAAAATAAATTATTTCAAAGAATTCAGTTCAGTGAAACTATAAATTAAATTTTATGAAAAAATTTCCTTCACATAACTTACATTCATTGTGTAACTTTTTGTACGAAATATTATTTTGCCTCAAATACCGTATCTATCGAGATGTTCATTTATGTTAATAGAGATATTCTTTAAATGTATCAAATTCTTAGCTCTTTATCAGCTCGAGTTAAGTAAATCTATTATGGTATTCTACCAATCTACTCATTTGCCCGTATAGCGCTAATGCCCGGACGACGCTTCAAGATATCGTAAGGAATGATCCAGGATATACGTCTAATATTGAACATCTAGTTTTCCCGGACCGTAAGGGTAGCAATCCAAATTTAGCTAGTCACAGTGGATCTTCATCCTTTAAGAACAAGCCCAAAAATGTAGGGGAATCTAATAATGCCTCAACGGCTAATTCGAAACTAGTAGAAGTGATTGCTCATCCGTATATGAGAGGATTATCATTCGAAGATGCAGTTACAACTAAAAATAAATCCTTTAACGTAAGTCAATATTTTTTTCATTATTTCTTATGCAAAAAAAATATTACAATATCTGTGTGCGTTCTAAATGTATTATTGCTATTATCTTATGATTTCAGATTTTTTCAATAATAATTTATCTTTAGTACTAAGAAAAATTATTTACGTCTGTTAATATTTGTAGATTTTTATAGTAACATCCTATACGTATATAAGTCTTAACCGTGTTTTCCTAAAGTGTAAATACTGCTAACACGAATAGAAAATAAACTGAAAACTTTAAGTACAACTATTGAGGCAGTGTAAATAAACATTGTTGGGAATTCGCTTTTTTTTTTTTTTTTTTTTTTTTTCTTTAAAAATCACTATATCACACACAAACAAAATTTATCCTTCAACTCTTGTAAAAGTAATACAATAGTTGTTGCTATTTTTCTCTCATAGATCACCATTCATGTTATTTATATTGTTGTTCTTTAAAAACCAGAAAAAAGTATATTTTGTTTCAAATAGTTTCAAAAATTATGTTTCAGTGATTTGAATTACATCTTTTGATATTAATATTAAAAGGTCGCCCATTACAATTCTTTTCACATATTTAGTGTGCAATATCTCAGATAAATTAAGTATCTTATACCAAAAACATAATTAATAGATTGAAGAAAATGATTTAATTAGTCAATTTTATAAATACATATAAATTAACATGACAATATTCTATCATTTATTGATAATTTAACAAAATTTATACTTTTTAGTGAAATAGAAAGAAATGAAATTTACAACTAGTTTAAACTTTGATCTCGAATTACTCAGACGAGTGAATTAATCAGGAATAGATAAAAAAAGTTTTTTGTGGCGCGATTTAATTTTTTACAGATAATGTGTCAGTTGATTTTTGGATGAAATATCGCTAACTATAGTAATAAAAAGTAAAAGGAGCAAAAGTATTTTCTGGCTTATTATTTAGAGAAAATAGAAAGAGCAACTACTTAATGTTCAGTTTTTTGAATCGCTTTAATATAAAGATGTATATCAGTTACTATGAATTTTTTAATTGTGTAATTAGCATATCATACAAAAGAAAAGGGAACTCTCTGCGTAGATTTAAAATATTTTTAATTTTTATCACTTATCTCATAAAAATTAAACCTTTTAAAACGTCATTTAAATGAAAGCGTAGGTTTCAAGTTTAATTACATTAAAAAAATAAAAAAATTTTTTTTTTTTAATATTTTACTACAGTTGAATAAACTTAATTAAAAAAATGAAATAATTTGAAAAAATTTTTTAACATATGTGGTTGATTTTTATGCAAAGAAATTCTGACTAATGACTATACATTTTAGGGTACCTCATTAAACGGTAGAGGAGATTCTACTGTAATTACATCATCCGGTCACCAGCCGAATTCGGGATCAGCATCTTCTAACTTCAAGCATCGTCGATGGGTTTCACAGCCTTCGCAATCGTCAAAGCAATATTCGACTGATGGCGGGGGAAGCCACGTGGGTTCCGTAGGCGGTACTGGAAATACGACATCGGTCCAACAACCTCGACGCCTTAGTCCCGCGTCAGACCCAAAAGAATTAAATTCTGCAATATCTTCAATAGGAGCCAGAGAAAAATCAGAGAGGTATAAATTACCGCAATTATTGGCACTTTACAATTAAATATATTTGTTGTACTTGTTCTATTTCAAGTTCAAACAGTTTTGTAATTAATATTTTATAAGACTAAAGTGAATTGTAAAGAACCTTGAGTACTTTCGAAGATGCTGAGTAAAAGGTGAACGTAATAGAAATAATAATAATAATAATAATAATAATAATAATAATGAAACTAATTAACTTAATTGCATTTTAATTCCAACTTGAATACAAAAATAATAACATTTAATTTAATTCAATAAGTTTGAAATTTCAGTAATATACTATTGAAAATTAATTAATATCAATTTATAACACAGATGATAATAATAATATTAATAATAATAATAATAATAATAATAATAATAATAATATTTTAGAACGGGAAATGTATCAATTGTACATCTCCGCGGTACATCTTCAGTGGAATCACGTGAATCCTGGGAAAATCGACAAGCATCGAATTTTTCCGAAATTCGGTCAAAGAGCTACAACCGTGCGAGTTCAATACCAGGTTTAAAACGTCAAGATGCCTCAATGACAAGTGGTGTGAGTATCGGAAATACATCTTCGTCGAGAAATCGATGTCAAGAGACCCAAAGTCAACGGCGTCGTGAAGCAACAAATTCATTACTCTCGGGAGGTCGCAGTACATCAGGTGAGCTTTTCGTCAGCGGGAATTGTAGTAGAGAATTATCTCCGGTACGGTGGTGTGACCATGATGTAGATGGTGTATATCTCGGGAGATCGGGATGGGTTCAAGTTCAACAACGGTCTCTCGATGAAAACCGTAAGATCAAATACGAAAGCAATCCCCAAGCGAAATGTACCGGAAATAGCAGTGCAGTCACTGGGACTATTCCACTCCCACGACGAGCAACTGTCAAGCTCATAGACTATCACTGTAGCAACAGCGAACCAGGAAAGCGCTCTGACTATTTAAGAAGTCATACTTTAGACTCCCACCGGCCAGATTTTCTGAAGCTTAACAGTTCCGAATATGAACCTCCCAGTGGTTGTGCTTCACCTCACAGTATTCCCGAGTCTTTCTCACCGCCATCAATAACACCGATCATATCACCACCGCCAGCATTCCAAGACGCCTTACAAAAAAGAGGAACGCGATCTTCCCGGTTCAGTACAACATATGGTAAAACGCCTTTTCTTCCCAGATCTAATGCCATTGTCGACAGTGATCTCATCAGTCCACCACCTTCACCGCTGTTAAACAAGAATTGGAGCTCATCAATACCGTCGTCAACTAAAAAATTATCAAACATATCTAGCAAGTCTCGATCAAGATGTCAAGGACCGTCTCAAGGCTCTGGAAATTCTATTGTCGTTATACAGTCAAAGCAAGATAGCAAGCAATCTCGTCTTGCTTCTGCTAAATCCTTAGAAGATCAGTCAAGTGCAAGAAGATCACAATTTGCTCAAAGATACCTAGAATCTTCATCATCATCATCTTCTTCTATGGGATTCCGTAGTCTTGATAGTTGCGTCAACAGAGTAACAATGCCGTGCTTAGCTGAGAACACAGATTCATCTATTGAAGGTTATGAAGATGGCGACGAAGACGATAATCCAGATTCATTGTTGAATAGCGCTGTTTCATCTCCAGGGACACTTTTAGACTTCTCTTTCGAGGGAATGATAATAAATCATGAGAGATTATCACCCTCTGGAAGACAATCGCGTTTGGGGCGCAGTCACCAAGCATCAAGAAGATCACCAGGTTCTTCCGATGGGGGTAAATTGTCTTTTGATTCCGGCTCATCGTCTTCGTCATCTAGCAATAGTACTGACCGAATAGAAAGATCGCCAACTCCCAATAGTTATAAACGCTCAAACCAATCCCGTCAACAGCATCAAGGGTATCGAGGTACTCTTGCACTTTCTCCAGATTCATTGCAAGCTTCCAGAGTTCGACGCTCAAAAAGTCTTCAATTACCGGAAAAAAGGTCTCCAGGATCCGGCAATCTTCAACAGCAATCATCTAGGGAACACTATCATGAAGCAAATGATCCTAATAAAGCCCATTTAAAAGTTATCAACGACAAAAGTATGGGACGAAATAAAAAACACATCTTGACAAATCGTAAGCAATTTCAATTTATTTTTTATTTCTTCTACTTTGTGTCGTTAAATTAAAATTGATTTTTTTTTTTTTTTCATTTGGTTAGGTAAAACTCATTCAACAGAAGAAACAGTTAACGTAGAAGTTCATCGTGATCCAGAAATAGTTACCGAATATCTTTACGGTACAAGAAGCCGGCCAATGACAAGGAATGTCCAATCAGGACGTTATGATAATCGGGATGATAAAGTTGATCGGCGGAATACAGCGGGTGCATGCGATGTGTACTTTATTTCGGCAAAACAACCACGTCAAAAACAGGCTATTATGAATTATACTCAACAACAGCAACAAAAGTCTTCAAATAAACAATTACGAACTCTTCAACGAGGAGTAACAACTCCGAATACAAATTCATCAGTACCATCTGTGGAATCCAAGACACGATGTAATACCAGCACTTGTAATTTTTGGCCTCATTGCACTCAGCGGGAAACACTTTATTCGCCTAATCTTAATCAAACATCCATGAAGTCATCTCAAAGCTATCCATCTCATCGTCGGATGTCTAATGACAATATCATCAACCACACTAATCGAGATCGTGACAGCGCTTGTTCTTCACCTGCCGCTTTAGATATAGTTGAAGACCGAGATATGAGAAAATCTCGCCAGCGAGGAGAACATTACTCTTCAATGTCGAAATCCGAAGAACGTGTGCCTAAAAGTGTATTGAAGCAACCCCGAAGATCACCTGCCGGATCGCCAAATGAACTAGATCAAACTACGCGATGGGAATATAGAAACACCCATGGAGAAACTGTAGGCCAACGTGTATCTCCTATACGATCTAAAACAATCAGAAGATCTCCTAATGGTGGCGGCAATTCGTCAGTCACTAATTCATCTTCCTCAAGCAGTGATATTTGGGTGACAACCTCCGATCGGACCGTTACAAAAAGTCCTAAAAATCCTAAAAGCAGCGGAGGATCAACTCCTATAGATGATGGAATCTCAGGATCATTGAAAACTCTTCTTGACCCTCAATCTGATTTATCAAGGCCTGGCAGTGCACCAGCGAAAAGAGGAGCTTCTCCAGAAGAATCAAAACATCTCGAGCCTCATCATAGATCTTCATCTCTGCCTAAATCATTTTTGTCACATGAGTCTACAAATACTGATGGGTGAGTACTTATTTTGATACTTAACTATATTTATGTTATCTACGTCGGTGAAAATATTCAAATAGCAATAAATTAACAGCAACAGTTCTTAATTGTTTATAAATTAAGAATGTTGTTTAATTTTCATCGTAATATTTAACAGAAAACCACTATTGTGTTGTTGGACCACTAATCGTACTATTACTATAAAGTGTCACGCCTCAAGAGAACTATGTAGATAAATATAAACACCCGGGGCATACTATACAAAGTTAATTGCAATGTCTTCTATTTGTCTTTGTTATTAGTTATCAGCAACCACAATCAATTTATACCCAACTTACTCAAAATATTTGTACAAAATGTTATTTAATATCTATAAATTCCAGAACTTTAGTCCATTGTTCTTTAGAAGTATTTATTAGCTATGTACAGCATGTATAGCTAAAAATAGTTTTAATAATTGATGAAAATGCTAGTGATACTTACAATAACATTTCATTCTATAATATAACATGTCAATGGATTTCGTTCAAGCGAAACGATGAATATGACGTTGGAAAATAATGACGTAATGACAAAAGGTTGTTCGCTTACGGAGCTATAACTTATTCTGCCTATTCGGTTAGAACTTTAACAATTCACATCATAGGCAGCCGGGTTTGCTTCGATGTTTTTCTGTCACATACTCACCCTCCAGTGAAATATACCACGCCCGAAGCACACGGACTATTTTTACTGGCGTTTTGCTACCAGTCTTTGGTTTAAAAATAAATAACTATATTATTTTATCAACTATCAGTAAATAATAATACTAAGTTTCTCGCCGAATACTTAAATGTATATATTATTTTTTTAATGAATTTTATGGACGACTTGAAGCAAACATAAAAGGAAACTTGCGTTCAATAACAAACAGAAAAATCATAAAATATAATATCTGGATAACGGTTTTATAATTTAGCATACGTAGACTTGTAATAAAACGTATCGTATTTATAAATTTATTCATCAACACTCATATATATTACTTGAATAATCCTTGAAATTTCCACATTTAGAAATATGAGAACTCAACTTTTATAGTAAATGTCAGAATGGATAAATTAAATTTTAACTTTTAGGAAAGGCTTCTATTAAAATGATTAAATCATTAAAATTTAATAATTTTACTAATGAAGTATAACTTTTAAATGCAGCCCACTGTAGGAAGTGTAGCATAATGAACTGATGATGATTACAAAAAAAAAGTAATTGTAATTAACGAATTCAGTATAACGAACTAGCTATTTGCATTGGCTTCCTTTGTTAGTCTTCCGATCTGCAAGAATCAGTGCAATTGAACTCACTAAGTATAAGATGATTATGAATGGATCAATAAACTGCGAAAATAAAGGGATTAACAATGAGATAATCATTCTTCTTGGCGTAATTTATTGAAACGCTGGTTGATAAATACCGTATGTTAATTTAAACTTCTATGTCGATAAAATAAAAGAAATAAAAAAAATGAAGCTAGCCGGTTTATAAATTGCTTTGTCATTTCATGGGAAGTCTATAAAAAAATTTAAAGGTGGTATTTTGCAATAAACAAAAATGATTGGACGATCGAGTTATACGTGACAAAACAGTAAGTGTAAGAGCAGATCACGATCGTAATAAAACGACCGTTGAACTTTATTCGATCCATGTAAGGATAGTAAGGATGTATCTCGCTAAACGTCCCTGTATATAACCGCATCTATACAATTGGTAAGGTAGGCGCCGTCTGTATCATTTATCACACTAATATGAAGGATTTGTTTTTTCATACAGGAAAATTCGATAATCTAGTACGGATATTTGTAATACTGTTGTTAAATTAACAAAGTCATATTTAATTCAAGAAAGAGACATAAGATTCAGTACAAGTCGACCTACTATGAAATTCATATATGAATGTGAATGATTGAATAAGTATGCAATAAAAACTTGTTTTTAATCGCAAGAAATTATTATTTTTTATATTTATTTATAGCTTGTAAAAATTTTTAATTAAACGAACTTAAATTTATTTCCCGCATGGAAAAACATATATGCAAATATATATTTTCACATATATTTTTTTTGCGCTAAATACATGTCTGCATATATATTCACATATATGTGCGCATATAAATGTCTAGAGATACACACAGAAAAAAATTTAACTTGAATCAAGAAAATAATTTTGAAAAATTTTACTTTCTTGATTTGAATAAAAAAATTCTCAAAATTAGAAATTTCTTTTTCAGTGTATGCTTACATATATGTCTATAAAAAAATTTAGTATAAATACGATGTCTACATTATCAGAGTGACCATAAATCGGAAAAGCCAGAATTATCGGACCTTTTGAAAGATATAATCGGATAAAATCATAACAAAATCAGGAAATGTTTATAGTAATTAAGCTAATCTTTGACCATTAAAAATTAGGCAATTTTATTTTTGTTACAACTAATCTTCTATATTAAATATGTACAACATTTACACAATGTTTTGTTCGAAATTATTTTGAACAATAAATAGTAAAATGATAACACTTTATTTTTACAAAAACTATCTCTTGAATTTCTGTGACTTCAGTTATAATGCCGTATCCATTAATTTATTCATTGAATAATTAAATTTTTATAATCTTGCTGATAAACAAAAAAAAATTGTTAAAGAGCCCGTTTTACTTCTTCCACCTACTTTTTTTTGAATTTTTTTTTTGAATTTTATTACCAGAATCAATATTCAATTATAAATTAAGAGCCCCGATAGCTGTTCAGGAACTAGTACCTGCTCACTCCATGTATTTGCATATCTGCATTTGTGAATATAGATATACAAATACATGGAGTGAGCAGGTACTGGGGCTTTTACCTTATAGAAATAAAATGAAGAGCTAATTAAAATGAATCAATAAAACAAATACAAGAAGTTAAATTATCATGGAATTTAAAAAGAATTTTTATGTTGCTTTCTCGATTATACAGATAATCTACATAAAAGTGCAAAGTTCATAATTTCATAGGGCAGAGTTCAAACACTATAGTTTTAGCGAAAAAATGATTAAAAATTTGTTTATAGAGATAGTCAACCCGAGAAATTCATACGTGTTAGCTGCAAGACTATTGATCTCATACAGAAATATCCGACTAATAATATATCTTGCTCATAGATATCCAGCTGAAAAAATAATAGTTCTTCTCATCAAAAAAGATGGTACTATTTCACATATACTTTTTAAATTCTATACCTAAAATTTTTCCTATAAAGTTTTGATTTAATCCGAAAATATATTAAATTTTTAGCTAAATCGTCTTAGTTATTTCTGGAAAAAAATAGTTTTTCTTTTATTTATTTGTGTGCTTGGAAAGTAATTAAGATCAAAGGTTTGAATTTTTTCAGAACAATATTTTGAAAATATAATTCTTAATTTACTCACGTTTTAAAAATTTTTCGGTTTATATACATATATATCTTTGCAAATTACAATTCGGATAATTATAGAACCATTATATTGGACACAATACAGATACGTTCGAAGATATAGATTTTCCATATTTTGTCACTGTCAGAAGATAAATTTATAAGCGATATAACTAATCAATTTCATCCACAGCCGTCTGTTTGCATCTAATTAGTACAGATTTGACACAGTTGCTGTGATGAATTATTGTGTAATATAATTGAAACATTGATCATTTTGAAACATTAATAAACTATAAAATATAACATGATAAATAAGATAAAAAAAAAAATACTTTATTTTCATATTAATTTGGCAATTGAATTGATACTCTGCATAAAAGAGTTTTATTTGAAATATCGAATTTTTTGCAATAAGGTCAACATTTATATAATGAAAGAAAAATGTATATGTTGACTAGGTCGTTCGTAAGTCGGTGAATATCGATGGTCCCGACGGGAATTATATTTTATGCAGATCAACTTAAAGTTTCATTATTCAAATTCATCATTGAGTATTTATATTTTTTGGATTAAAAATGTTTGTACGCTTTCAATAAAGTTTAAAATATATTATTATCGAAAATAAAATTAAAGTTAACTTCAATTTAAAGTAAGTAAATTATTAATTATAAAAATTTTAGCCATTTCTTTAATTTTTAAATCTAAAGTTTTTTTTTAATTTTTTTTAATTATTTGAAGCTTATGTAAAAATGAAGTAATGATAATAATAATTGCCATCGTTTTTTGGAAACTCCAAATAAATATATAATATTTTTTAATTTTTTGATTTTTCTACATTATTAATTAAATTAGAACAAAAAAATATTTTTTAAAAATTGCACTTACAATTTTTCAAGTTTTTTACAAGTGACATTTTAAAAAAAATTTTTTTTGTACCAATTTTTTTAATAAAAAAAAATTTTTTCAATTTTCAGATGTCGGCTAACTTAATTTTCATAATACGCGAATATAAAAAAACTAATATCGAATTATTGATCTATCTGTAGTAAGTATAGTAAACCTCTCAATTGAACTGTTTTTAATTTTTAGAATACAAACAACTGGTGGTAAGCTCACTAATTAACCCGGCTGATGGTTATACTCACCTCAGAGTATTTTTGGAATTTTTTTGTTTGCGGAAACCTCTAATTAGTGGAATGGTTTTCACACAAAAAAATTCGCGTAGAGATAACCAATATCATGTCAGTTATAAACACACTATCCTTGTCAAATATAAACGTCAGGTATAATTAATTGAATTAAATGCCGCTGACGTACGTGACATTATATATCTGGAAGTACACAAACATAATAGCTGCCATAGATGATGCTCGCAAATAAAAACGAATGAAAGACATCTACTTATATGTATGTATCTATGACATTCCTACCTGCAAACTGTGAAGCACCGTGAGCTGCGAAGGAAAGATGATACACCAAGTAGACCGGTGGTAACGGCTCCGCGTGGCGCTGCAATCAGAATTGAAAGTGTAGTCAGTCGGCCACCGCCGAATCGAGAGCATTAGTATAAAATTTTTCAAACGT